AAATCTTCCAAAGTTTCATTATCACAATCTCAAGCGATAAACAGATAAGATTATAAGCAAAAGGGACCAGAGCAAACACTTCAATATAACAAATATTTGCTTTGTGCCATTATTTTATCTGACTTACTGTTACTGTTACTATATTATTAGACTTACTGTTTTTACCACAGGTAAAACAGCAGCAGATTGAGCAATGAGCCACTGTTCTCTTCAGAAGGAAGAACAAAGGACAAAACAGCCCTTGGTAACAAACATTTGTATGAGCCAGACTGTGATGAGCTTTGTAATAAAGGCAAAACAGGCCAAAAAAGTAGGGGTTTGGAGCATCAAAAGGATGATGAGCAAGAACAAAAAGTCAGCAGTGCTGAGAGTGATAGATTGACACAAACACAGTGTCTTTGGATTATGGAACATCAATATTACAAACAGATGAAAAGCAATCATAAATGAAAACAAAATAATAATATATCTGGAAAGACAAGAAAGTTATCAGTCAGAGGGAGGGGCATTAATTAGGACATGCAAAGTAGGAAATCACTTAGAGACACAGAGCCCATTAGCAGCTCATAGCCCCAAGCTAAATTCAAATAGGAGACTCAAAAATGACACTTACGCACAGTCTGACACACATGGGGTACTGCTGTGATGAAAGCAAAACTTAGTTCTGGAGTGGTTTATGAAGTATGGTAGGATCCCCCTGAAGTGATGATGAGGCTTACTGATGAGGAGGATGGCAACACTGATCCAGGCAAGGCAATGCTCAACCATGACCCAAGCACCCACGCCACAGAGGTGAGACCTCCTCCCAGCTGAACGGGATGCCAAGGCTCCTCACAGATGAAACACTTTTCTTGCACAAACATACACTTTTCTTACACATCAATTAACTCAGGATAGTGGCTTCAGGCTCCTCAGATGCCATCACCAGGCACAAGACAGACTATCTGGTTGATGGAAGCTTCCAGTAATCATGCAAAAGAGAAGCCCTGCAACAGAGAATCTCACTGGTGAGCCTGGAGCGAAGTCTCACAGCTCACCAACAAGATGCCACAAAGAGCTTTTGAAAGGCAGAGTTAGCTAGCAGGCAAAAACTGTCTGGCCTTGCAAAAATAATGGAGTCTATCATTACACACCTAGAAGATTCCCTGGCAACTCTTGAGTATTTTGTTAACAAGCCAAGGAATACAAGCATGAAATGACTCCTATGATTCTGAGAACATGTAACACAAATGTACATTTCAATAAGGAAATAAAATCACCAACTGGTGTGTACTTTGCGGTTTTAAACAATTCTGGGTTGCTGAAAATCTCCAGCTATGAGTCTTTCACTCAGCTCTTAATTTCTTCATAAATACCTCATCATGTGAGGTAGAAAGCACCAGAACTAAATTCACATGAATCCCTGAAAGACAAATGCCTCAGGAAAATAAAAAATGCTTCAAAAAATATTTCATTACACATACTGGTTTATTTCAGAATCCAGCAACTATCATTTCCAAAGTTGTTCAGAAAAAAACATGGAAAAACATAAGAGAAGTTGCTATGAAACAATGGAAAGCCATGGAGAAGACACAAGCTGCAGGGGTCCTTCCTTTGAGCAACCTCTGGGGAAGGAAAACCTGTGGAGAGCAGCATTACAAAAGAGGTCTTGGTTTTGGCCATTGTAGTATTTGACAGCATAGGAAAATGGGTATTCAGACTATCACTGGAGATAACAAATCTAAAGTTAATTTCCTAAACATGGCCATGCCAAACAAGCTTGCCTGGAGAAGAACCTCTTAGGTACATAAATGAGTCTATGCTGACATTTGTGGCCAGCACTGATGGGAAATATCAATTGTTTAGGAAGAGAATAGATGTGCTGTCATAGAGGGTTACTGAAGGTGAAAAGGTAATTAATGCTCAGGGCCTTGAATCCCTAAGGGTCACTGCCTAAGCCTCCTGAAAAATTAGTCCATATGTTCTGTATTATTTTCTTTGGCTGCAAAACAGATTAGGACTGTACAATATACACATGAGAAGTGGATACAACCTCATGTTGCTTACATTCACAAGAGATCCCCACATCCACTCTTTGGGAAAGAAACATAAGGAAGTGCAGATTATGCAAGTGTTCCTCTGCCTTTGGTGTTTCCTATTTCATGTTGTCTGTTCTTTACTTATCCTGTCACCTGATACAATGCTCTTGTGAGAGAGATCTAGACATGATCATACTGAAAGAACACAATATTTCAGAAGTGTAGTATTTTATCTCCCCTTTGGCTTTATTGATCAACCATTAGCATTAGACTAAATGCTGCACTGTGATTTTGATTCAGCTGCTGAAAAAACCTCATCTATGAAGCTTAAGCTCTTATGCACTGAATTCATTCCCTAAGGCAGGTCTAAAACTAAGGCTGAAGTTTTGGGAAGGATTGTCTTTCCCCTACCACATTCACTCTTGTATTTGTTATGGGTGTAACCATTAATGGTTCCGTTGTGGTACAGAGAAGTATTTGTGAGGAAAATTCTCTCTCCAAGAAATGCTCTCATATGCCTCCAGCCACTCAGGAGTAAAGTAGAGCTTGTGCCCACACTGTACTGCATTGCTCATTCCCAGGATATTAGCAGATCTAAACGTTTTTGCTCAACTTTGACTTTTAAACAACTAGTTCATTCTTTCAAATAAAGCAAAATCACTGCAGAAAAGATTCTTGGCAGCAGTTTTTGCTCTGGCTTCCTGAGGAATGCACTCACTTTAAAAACTGAATGAAAAACCAATGGCACATAAAACTGCCTCATGACAATGCTGGCAGTTCTACCAGTTTCTCATCCACCCACATTTACCAAGCCCTATGCATTATGTTAGAATTGTAACTTTGAAATTATAACCTCTGAGGACATGCTTTTTAATCACCAGTATCTCATTTTCCACTTTCAGAGTGTTGTGGAAGTGTTATTTGAATAGCGGGTACCAGATTTTAAATGTCTGCAGTGATTACAATATCCTGTTAGTATCAGAAAAGTCCTTCAGCTGAGACCTCTTGGATTCTCACACTCAAAGAAAATATTTTAGCCATCTGTTCACCTGATATTTGCTACAGCAGAGAAGAGAAAGCTCAGTATTTTCTAGTCAGCTTAGGTCCAGCATGGAACACCTCAGTGTTCTTTTGGCTCCAGAAAACATCCTATTATGGTGAAAGTTTAGGTATTCCTACTTTATATCTCATAGAATATATCCCAAGTATGATGCTCAATATGACTTTTAAAAGCCTCTTAAGCAAAATTTCATGTTAATCAATTTTTTCCAGCAAATGTAAACATCCAGTCCATAAAGATGAAAATGTTCCTGCTCTGAACAAGAAAGTTTCAAGTTTTGTGGCTGAGTACGTCAGCACCCGACTTCCAACATGACATGCAGAGCTGTAGACCCAAATTATAGGCCACTCCAAACACAAAAGTTTAAAACACAGCCACTCCCCTCTTTCAAAAACCCTTTTGTATTCTTTTTGGTTTCTCTAAGAACAAGTTGTTGATGATGGCATTTTCCTACTGCATTTACACAAGCCTAGAGTTATAAAAGCCAGGCAGGCAGCACTACCCATCTGGAAGCTGATAATCACTTGCGCAATGGCTGCCCTGTGAATAGGGCAGACTTCTTGCATAAACTCAGATTTGTGGGATATGATTTTTCTCAAGCTCTGCTTGCAGCCCAAGCTTCAAGTGTGACCTACACTGGTACCTAGTTGCAATTGCTCAGTATCTCTGAAAACCATGTGGTCCACACACACCGATAAGGAGCTTAACTCCATATGCTTTGCTTTGAAAAACTAGTGCTTTCTTTAGATGAAAATCAAAAAGCTATCATAGCATTTCAGACCAGTAATAAGATTTTATCAGATCATGATCCCTTTAGCGGCACAATCTGTGTTTTACCTAAATAGCCTGATGAGGCTCAAATGCCTCATGCTAGCCTCTTTCTGAGTGGTGTGTCACATGCTGAGAGCAGAAGAAGCTGAAATGTCACTGCTACCACATGGCCATGCCAAACAGCAGCAAGGATCTGACTGAGGCAGATAACACCCGGGCAGATGTGGCCAGTGGTCCGTGCCTCCTTCCCCTCTGCTCCCTGCTGACTTAAGACATTCACCCCCAGGGCAGTGTGGACAGTAGATGGTTCCCACAGCCATACCCAAACTTGGGACACCAAGCACACCAAGCACTTCCAGTCCTAGCTCTGCACATGCAAGAAGTTGACTTTTGCCCCTTGCCACAGGCAAACTTCTTTGCTAATGGGGATGGTTTGGCATCCCTAACCACCACCTGTGCAATGTTGGCTGCTTACTTGCAGTCATAGGCACATTTTGATGTGTAGGATGGGCCATCAGTGATTTCACTCAGCATCTCCTGAGAGACAAGAAGCGGCTGAAAGCACTGATGCTAACCTGGGTGTTTTAGAAAGCCATCTCCACATGGCTAATTGTTACACTGATTGCTGATAGCTTGAAATATCAGCTTTTGGGGTTCACTGTCCTGAAACCATTCACGCGCACCCATGCCCACACAAACCACGAAGAGAAGAAAACTATCGCATTCAGCGTTTTAGTGCTGCAGGTATGCAATGCATATAAACGTAGCGTGCGTGACGGGGCAATACTGCATTTCCTTAGAGAAAAAAAAAAAAAAAAACCAAGTCATAAACCACCCAGCGAGCGTATGCTCCCCGGGAGCGCCCTGCCGTGGGCACAGCCGCCTCCGCCGAGGAGCGGCCGCCGGTGCCTGGCCGGCACCGGGCAGCCCCGCGGCACTCTGGGGGTGCTCCACGCTCCGCTCCAAGCTGCTGACGCCGGGCACGCTGTGCTCTGCCGCGCCGAGCCGCTCCGACCGTGCTGCGCTGTGCCACCGCGACCCGTGTCGAGTCGCGCCGAGCCGAGCCGCTCTGAGCCCCTCCTCTGTCCCCGCCCAGCCGGTCCGGACCCACCCCCGGCGGCGGGGCCGCTGCGCCGCCGAGCCATGCGAGGCTTTAAGCGGCAGGTGCGGGGGAGCGGAGCACACGCGTAAGCGGCGGCTGCTGCGGCCCGGCGGTAGCGGCGGCGGGCGCCTTTCGGCTCGGCGGGAGCCGCGGCGGAGCGGAGCATGTCGGTGGCGACCGGGGGCAGCGAGGCGGCGGCGGCAGCAGCGGGCGGAGGCGGCGGGAACCGCGTTTTCTTCCAGAGCCCCCGTGGCGGCGGCGGGAGCGGCGGCTCCTCCGGCAGCTCCTCCCGGGAGGACTCGGTGTCGGCAGCGGCGGCCGTGGTGCAGGTCCAGCAGCGGCGCCACCAGCAAGGAAAAGTGACGGTGAAATACGATCGGAAGGAGCTGCGGAAGCGGCTGGTGCTGGAGGAGTGGATCGTGGAGCAGCTGGGGCAGCTCTACGGCTGCGAGGTGCGGGGCCGGGGTCGCGGGGTCCCCGGCGCGGTCGCTGTCGCCTCAGTCCCCTCGCCCGCCGCCGCGTCCCTCGCCCCCGACATCCTCCTCCTGCCCCGAGTCGCATTTCGGCGGTGGGCAGGGGAGCACTGTCACCGCCACCTCCAAATGACATTCCCGGTCCACCGCCTCCACCCTGCCGCTGCCCCGCGCCCCAGTGGTGCCTCGGCTCAGGGAATGGTAAAAGGTGCCCCATGTCCTATCGACAGGGTGTCCCCCGTGCCCTCCCGAGGTGAATAAGAGGGGACCGCCCTTTGGGGACGGGCGGTGGCTGCCGCACGGCCGGGCATGGAAGGGTGCTTTTCCTCGGGGGGGCCCGGCGGCTGCGGCAGGTCCGGGAATGCCAGGAGGTTCGCCCGCGGCTGTGGTGGCCGGGAGCCGCTGTCCCCGTAGCCTTCCGGGGCAGGGCGGACCGGGGCTCCGAGGCGCCTTCCACGGGCTGGGCGGGCGTCGGTCTCCGTTAGACGCGATCTGGCCCGGCGCCGGGAGCTCGGCGGTCGGAGGGCAGAGCGGTGTGCTGGGCACAGCAGCAGGAGGGAGCGGGACCTGCGCGGGGGCTGTGCGGAGGCGGCTGTTGGAGAGGAAAGACTCCGGTGCGGGTACGGTCCCCTCTGGATCGTGGTTTTGCGTTATCCCGACCTACAGGAGCGGGGAAGATACTGGCCAGGAAATCTTAGTGAGCAATTCGGAGGTCATTAGGACGAGAATCGAAAACGCTGGGGCTTGTATGTACGTGATTTGTACGTATCAAATGTGTTTTTCTGTTACTCTGGGCAAAGAGCGAGTGTTGCCAGAATGAATTCTCTTTTGTAGAGGGCAGATGAGCAGGAGGATGTTTCAAGATTGTTCAAAGAAATGGCAACTGTTGTCTTCCTTGTGGAGATAACGATGTTGTAAACCTTCTAATCCCCAATGGATCGTATCTTCCTTCCACTTCAGGTATTTACTCTTACCAAAACGTTAACGCTAAACTGAGGTTCACACATACTTTTCCCATCAGTCGTCTAATTCACTTTTGTTAGAGACTTCTGAAGTGAGATTTGTTGAAGCCAGATGTGAATTTTGCAGCTAGCATGTCCAGGAGCCAGCATCTCACTCCTGAGCATGCTGGAGCTAGGAAGACAAGAGCTTGACAGTCCTTAAGGTGTGGATGTGAAAATATAAATAACCTGGATGGAATATCAGCACACACGTAATACAAATGTTTAAAGAAACTCCTTTAATCTCAAAAGTGATTTATTGGCAGATTTGTTAGAATGATACATAAGAAATGTGCATGTCAAGTTAAACCTCCTCAACACACATCTATGAGCTGTGGGAAGGAAAGATACAAATGGAAACTCCAGTTAAAAATAATAAAAATAAGCAGTTCTTAGTCTTTGTCTTGGTGTGACTTGCCTCTCCAGTCTCATGACTTGTTTGGCCCCATAGCCTGTAGGCTGTGAGGGTTTTTCTGAGGCCAGAAGTGTTTACAGTCGTTTGTGTGAACTGATGATTCTGTGCCTGTGTAAGCTGATAATGTAGTTAGTGTCTGGCCTGCTGGATCTGTCCTCTGGTTTGACTCTCACTGTTCAAAAGCACCAGGCCTGTTTGGGCTGTGTGCTTTTGACGTGCAGGTGAACTTGTTCTGTTCATAAGAGAGGATGTGGTATACAGGACCAAAGCCCAATGGAATTGTTGCTGCTCTTCACAGTGTTCAAATCACAGGCTTGTTGGAGGAAAATAATTCATTCTTTTCCTTGCTATAGTTGTTGCTTCCAACTAAAGTGGAAGGATGTATGCTTTAGAATGTCTCCATTAAGGTGGAGACCATATATAGCTGAATAAAAATAATTTGTTAGATGGTTTGGTTTCTGAGGTGACTTTTAGGGGGAAAAGTGGTTTAGCATAACAGAACAAAATGTTTTTAGATTTGAAGGCCAAGGGCAAAATATTTAAGTCATTTTCTGCTCTTCTTTGCTATTATCCAGAGTCAGCACAGATGATGGTAGTGAAAAGGTCAAGCTATTAATATGTTATCAGAATAAAGTTGAAGATGTATGATGAGTGTAGTGATTAAAGACAATAGCAATTTAATGCAAGATGCTTTGCTTGAATCTGCTTGAATTACTTCTAGGCTTAGAGATGTAGCTCTCAGGCTGAAATTTAATCACCTATGCAGACAGTTAATAACCCTGTCTGAGGGCAGGTTGGGAGGGGGTTGGGAATTGCTCACTTCAACTTCTATGGAAGATCTACAATAACTTCCCAATGCAATGACATTTAAATTCTGTAACGATCTAAAATCTTCCAGGTTCTCAGAAATAGCCATTGAATTTTTAATCCTGGAAGAGCTAACCAATGTCAGTGTTTCATTGCTATTCTGATTCAGAGCTCTATTTCTAAGGAGCAGTGCACTTCATTTCTGGGAAGAGCAGAAATAAGTAGAGGGTGCTTCCAGTGTGGTACACTGAAAGTCTGTAAGAAGACTTGCATGTCTCTTTGTTAGACTGCATAAATGTAGAGCCTGCTCACTGTTTTCCATTTAAATAATGTTTGCTATTATGCTGAGATTCATCAGTAAGTGGATACTTGCAGAAAGATTCCCTTTATTCAAAACTAAACATGTACTCATAGTCTCTCAAGTACTTGCAAGTTAAGTCAGCTATAAGCCTGTCTTGGCATGGCGACAAAGTTTAGGAGATGAGGTTGGGAAATAACGAGACAGGTTTGTTTGTGTTCTTTTTCTAGTGGATGTTGTCTCTACTGGTACATTTTTAGTTTTAAAAATTGGATGCCAAGCAATATAATGGTGTCGGGAGTGTGACTTAGAAGGAGCTATTTGAGACTATTTTTAATGCATACCTCAGTAATATGACACAGAGATTAGCTTTAGAAAGGTTACTTCCACATGATGCAGACTCTAGGGATAAAAGACCCTTTACCTGAATGGTAAAGGTTATCAAGGTAGAAAGCTTTAATAGGACCAGGGAGACTTAAGCAGGATTTGCTTGGCACCAGAACCTGCCAGGCTAACGTACTCAGGTCAGGTGCTTCAGGTGAGTATTGGTCTGGCTGTCTGCTTCTGGGACTGCTTCATAAAAAAAAAAAATATATATATATATATGTATGTAACCTGTTTGTTCTGGTTTCTGTGAATGCTGAAACTGAGGTTATAATTGCAGGTTAGTACATTGAAAATGCAATGCCTTAATTGCAGGACTTGAACTGGCTTCAGTGATGACTTTTAATAGGTATCTTGGTACTAAAAATAGTTTCTCCACAGATGCTTTGTGTTTTGGGCTAAGTCCATTATTGGTCAAGAATTGCAAAATAATGCTGCACAGAACTACTTACATCATCACTATTCATTCCCTGATGGTTTGCAACTTGTAGTTCAGCATGAAAGTGGTGACAGACCAGTTTTCCAGATGTATGATCTATGTTGTGTGCACCTGCCAAACTTGTATGACTTTGTATATGAAAAAAAGAGACCACTGGACTTGTCCCCAGAAACCATCCAATTTTGCAGGTGACTTTCTGTGCTCTGGGGTCCTGCCTGTCCAGGATGATAGCATTTGCTATAAGTGGCACACAGATTTTTGCACAATAATGAAGAAAGGTTTTGCTTGTGCTTTGGATTTGTTGCTGAATATTTTTTAATGTAGAGATTTACATGTGCAAATCAAATGAGCCCCTAGACTTTGCACTCTAAAAAGCTTAATATAAGACTTGCATTCTGAGATATTGTTGAGCTTAGCTGAGTAATCAATTATTTTATTAGAGTATGTCTAGTGATGTATGGAAGTCAGTGCTTGGCAGGGCACATGATGTTGGTCTGGAAGTGCCAGAGCATTATGTCCAAGCCTATTATTTTTCCATTCCAGGAATGGAAATACCCTGAGATTGTTTAAAAATTCACTGTACAATAAAATACAGTTGGAAGAGATGCCCATAAAGGCCCTTCAGGCATTTCCTTTAAGAGTACAAATCCAAGTCAGACTGAGAATTGTTATGTGTAAGATTTTCTTCCATCTTCTGGTACAGATACTGCAATGACAAGAGTGGCATGAAGCACTGAAAAGAGTCGGGGATTTCATGTTGGCAGTGGAGTATGGGAGGGAAAGGAGCAGTTTAACTCAGTCCTGCACAGATCAAGAGCTCCCTTTGCCTGGTTGCTCAGTGACTGCAGAGCTGGAGAGCACCCTCTTTGTCTGTCTTCCTGAAGCTGCTGGGATATGCTAACATTTCCCTCCACACACTCTGTCTTTTCCAAAACAGCCTGGTCAGCATGCTGCTAAGGCTGCCATGTGGTGATGTGGACCTGATGGTATGATCAGGTACTACTTATGCCTCAGGCTCTGGTGAGGTAATGTTTGAAATTCATTATTCATTTCTCAGAAAGGCATTTGGTAAGAAAATCCACTGAGCAAAATGCTACAGAAACCAACTTTTGCCTACAGTCTCACTCTTTGAATAGACTTCTAACTTAGACTAAGATCTCAGAGATGGTAATTGCATGTGGATTCCTTTCTCCATGGATTAGAAGGTGGAAAGCGGCCGAGAAGGCTCTGAGAACTAGAGAGAGTGTCACTCCTTTAAAAAGATGCAAGTTAGTAGGAGGCATAATGAAGGATTTCTTTCTTCGGGAGATTGAGTTTTACAGTTCAGATGCATTGGAGTAAAGAACGTGTAGGTCCACCAAGGTGCTTAGAAATTTATTTGGATTATTTATTTTGGACAGCTCTTACAGATCTCCATGTTCTACAGCACAAACTTTCGTGTCCTCTCTTGAGGCAAGGGATACTGTACAACATACTTGTGTCAGCTGAAGAGTTGCTGTGATCAGAGACCTGTAAAGGACACAGGCAAGACAGGTGTAGCAAAGGCTTATTTTATCATGTAGCAGCCACAGAAAGGCATTTGAATCCCAAGAGCAGAAAATGGGAAGCCTAAGAAATGCATGTTGTCTTAAAACA